CGTCCCCGTACCCGTACCCGCCGGGTATGTGATTTTCATCCCCATCCACGTTCCCGTCGGGTATTGGGTATACCCGTACCCGTACCCGTTAAAATTTTTATTTTTTATTTTTTTTTAAAAATATAATATTTTTAAATTATATTATAATTATAATTAAGTTATTTTTTTATCTCATATTACAATAAATAATCACACATAAAAAAATATTAAAATTCTTTAATAAAATTAAATTGAAAGTGGGTATTAAATTAAAAATAAAAACGGGTACGGGTACGGGTACGGGACGGGGAAGGAAATACCCCTACCCGTACCCGATTTAATATATCAAGTTTGACCCGTACCCGTACCCGGTCAAACCGGGTATTCCCCGTCAAAGTCGGGACGGGTTCGGGTATTTACCCGCGAGTACGGGTATATTTGTCATCTCTAGTTGACAGGTAAAAAAGTTTAATTTAGTGTTTTATGTTATATATTCAACGTAAATCAATGTAAGATGATGACAAAAAGAAATATTCACGGTTACCGCGGAGATCATGGTATTTGAATTAAATCCTTGTGCGTTGGATGAGGGTAGGGGATAAATTATTTAATGTCTCCATTTAAAACTCATAATGATTCATAAAATGAATACCAATAAGATTTTGTTAGTTGTATAGTTTTCTTTTACTAAATTTAAAAGCATAACTGCAAAATATAGTTAAATGATCTTAATCAACAGTTCTAGTATAAAAACATTTGAAAACTTTCGAATGTTAATGACTAATTTCTTTACGGTCGTTGGAAGAAATAAAAAATGTAATTTGAAACCAATTAATTTATTCGGGACTAAATTGAAACCAATTAATTAATTTGAGACCAAATTGAAACAAAAAAAAAAGTGGGACTAAATTGAAACAAACAATTATTGTAAGTGACCAAAATAGGTTTTTAACCTTTTATTTACGATAAAATTAAGAGATAAAAGTATTATATTATTTAATTTTTTTATATTAAAATATTTAATTTAATTCTTTTAACTTTACATGGTTAATTTAATTACATTCTTCATTTATGAGAGTATAAGTATTATACTATTATCCTTTCATATGTTAAAATATTAAATAAATTATATTTTTAGTTTTTTAGAGATATAATTTAGAGTATTTATTATAAGATTTTAAAATATGTTTTTAATTAAAACATGTTAAAATATTTTTAATTCATTGTCATTCATTCACTTAATACAATCGTTAAATAACAAATTTTTAATGCATAAATCAAATATGAAAAATTTTAAAAAATTTGTATTAAGTGAATTTTTATATAAAACATAAGTTATTGAATAGATTAAGCCTAACTAGACTTATTTTAAAAATAAACCTTTATATGAGTTATTTCACTTAATAACTTATTATCTTTTACCTCAAATTCTAACTAATTATAAATAACAACAATTTCTTGTTAACAACTGGGAACATAACAGCCGGGAAATATCTCAACCGATAAATAACTTAGTCTTCTGGAGCATAGAGAAAATTTGTATATAGAAATATTTTTAGTATATAATTACCTGGAATCACATAGCAGCTGAAGAGAGACCATTATAAGTTTCATGATTATTAACTTACGAAGAAAACAATTTTGAAGCTTTAAAGATGTACTTTTACAAGATTTAACATCTAGAATTCATAATTTATAGTGAATTCCATATAAAAGAAATGTTCATAATCTTGTTAGAACTTTAAACCTACATTCTTTATAATACAGAAAATGAGAGATATCCGTTCATATGTTTTGCACACATAAACTAATGTTTAAAACAATTTAATAAACTAACCATTTCCAAGGCTAGTGAGTAGTAAATCTGCAACTTATTAACCACCTCGATTCAAGGACTTCCAAAGGCTTTGGTAGGACATCGAACATCCCTCAACCAAATTTAGGCCTTTGTATTTTCTTGGACAGAACATTTGAGTTTCATAACATTCATCATTTTGTGTCCTGGTCATCAACAAACATAAACACTAACTAAAACAATGTATTTTGACGAAATTCAACTACAAGGTAGAATACAATAATGTTAAAATTTGTTGCATGTAAAAAGGAATAGACAAAAAAAAGTGATAGTTTGTGAAAGAAAATGGTTATATACAAACAGCCAAACACAAGTAAAAAAGTAAATCTTATTGTGCTAATCTGTTAATAATATTGCTTGAGATATAAAATAAATCTATGAGACTTCATAGATTATTTCTCAAAGCCATCTCATCTGTGTTTGCTACAATTGTTTGCGAACTAAAGAGTAAAATTATTTTGAAACATTTTCTATAAACACAATTACTGTAGTATTGGGATGAGTGGTTATTATTATTATTGCTGGAGAGAGAATATTGCATGAAAGGATCCAAATTCTCAAAGCTGTATAGATGTTGTGGAGGACTGGCACCTGATGAAAAGGTAGACACACATGTAAGAATTGATGCATGTGTAATTTGAAACTTGTTCATCTTATTAGGTAATGCACACATCTTCAATGTGAGCAATCTTCTCCCAATCTTCGCCTTCTGGTTTTTGGCAACGCTTTGTGAGCAAAGGACAACCCCAAATAGAAAAACATGAAATGGATTTAGGCAAACCCTCCTTTGGTAAGCATTGGAGGCTAGGGCAGTCACCAATATTCAATTCCATAAGAGAGGAGAGGTGGCAAAGACCCTTGTAGTCTAGTTTCTTAAGATTTCGACAATGGTTGATTTCTAGGTAAGTAAGAGAGAGTGGCAAGAAACCTTCTTTTGGAAAAGACTCCATATCCATTTTTTCAATGCACAACATATCTAGAGAGGGGTTTACTCCTAAAGCTCCTTTCATTGAGGCAACAAGTTTGGAGCAATTTGTGAGATGCAATTCTTTTAAATTTGTTGGCAATCCTCCATTTGAGAGTGATTCCACTTGTGGGCAATTATATATCCAGAGACTAGTAAGAGATGGAAGTAGGATGTCCATGCGTGTAGGCAATGATTTCAAATGCTCTATTGAAACTCTAAAACTCTCTAACTTAGGTGCAGATAATCCTTCGTTGGGAAATGATTCAAATTGGGGGCACTCACTAATTCTCAGCTCCTTGAGATGATTATGAGTGTTCTTCTGGGAAATCATTAGCAGATTAGGACACTTGGTCAATTCAAGTTGACAGAGTTTTGGGAAGAAATCTAGATGAATGGTTGTTAGAGAATCACAACCATCATTGATCTCCAATGTTATGAGGAAATTGAAACAACTATTCATGGGAATACTCATATTTGGGGAAGAATGAATGCACAATTTTTCAAGAGAAGTATCAAAGAGAGACAATGCTAGCATGTTGTGTCCCGTAATGGAGAGTTCTTTCAAAGTAGTTGGATGATAATCGAAATGCATATTTCCACTATTTGTTAGATTCAAATGATGAATTTCTGGAGCCATTGGAGCAAAAGTCACAAGTTGTTCACATTCACTAATGTATAGATATTTTAAATGACAAAGTTGCTCTGGCAAATTCCCTTTCAGCTTTGGACAGTCCGTTAAAGAAAAATGTTGAAGACGTGGAAAAGAACCTGTCAAACCTTTGCATTCCCATGCTTCCCATTCATCCATTGAAGATAAGTACAAAGTTTCCAAGGATGGAAATGAACAAGTGCTACTTCCATAAAAATCAGCATCAATAACCACTACCCCATTAAGCCCTATAAGCATCAAGTTCTTGAGAAATGGCAAGAGCCCCAAGGGAGGCAAACATACGAAATATTTACAGTACCTCAAATCGAGGGACACAATGTTCGATAATGAATTATCACATAACCAGCTTGGGAATTGTGTACCACCATATCTCCAAATTGACAACTTCTCCAAATATTTGGGAGGTTGTAGATTCTCTAGTACTTTCCTTTCTTTCATTGAATCTTCAATGTTTTGGTCCCATTCCCATGATAACTGTAGCTCCACAAGATGTGTTTTATTTTTCAAATCTGCAGCCAATGCATCTAAGGGATTCACAATATTTTGTAGGTTCCCTATTAATAGCTTTTCATGAAGATTGAGTTCTCTTAGCTGCTGAATATTGGACTCATCACTACTCTTGCCAACAAAAAAAGAACTTAATACTTGAAGATTCTTTAGTTTTCCCAAATGCATTGGCATCTTTGTCACTTTAGTATGTATAAATTCAAGGTGACGCAAATTTGTGAGTTTATGCAAAGTCGAGGGCAACTCCTCCAAATAGAAACAATAATTCAACTTCAATATTTGCAAGTTATAGAGAGAACATGTTGAATCAGGTAGCTTTCTTATTTTAGTTTCTGAAAGATCTAATGAACAGAGATGTTTGAGATTTCCTATAGACTCAGGAACCTCTCTAAGGTCTTGACAACGAAATAAAGATATGACACGTATGAAAATGAACTTGGAAAACAACTCATGTATCAACATATTGCAACGCCAAGGGTAAAAACATGTGTGTATAAATGTACGTAGCCTTTTAGCATAACAAAAATCCCCAAACTCATCACAATATTGATTATTGTATTTGGATACAAATGAAAAATGTCGGGATTTTGACATACTTTTTGGCTTATCAACTCCCAATCTGAAACAGATGTTTCCACAAACATATTTTGCCAAATCATTGAGTAGGTCATGCATGAGAAAACACATTTTGTTGCTTGATTGTTGAAAGAAGGACCTTGATAATAAATCATCAAAGTATTGTTCACCAATTTCTTCCGGGCCCTTACTCTGTTGAGAGCTTTGTATAAAATTTTCAGCCATCCATAACAAAATTAAACTTTTCTTGTCAAACTCATAATCTTTGGGGAATAAGGCACAATAAGAGAAACATCTCTTGAGATGAGAAGGAAGATGGTAATAGCTCAACAACAAAGCAGGGATGATTTTACTATCTTCTTCTGAAAAGTCCCATATCTTGCTTATGAGTATACTATGCCATTCTGAAATAGATGACTTTGTATGTAAAAGACATCCAACTGTTTCCAACGCAAGAGGCAATCCTTTGCACTTTTGAACTATTTTTATACCAATCTCCTTCAACTCATCGTTCAACTGAGAATCATAATCTTGGAATGCATGTCTAGCAAAGACTTGCCAACTGTGATCTTCTTGTAATTGCTTCAGGTGATGTACTTTATGTGACTGCACGATAGAAGCAACTTTGTTATGGCGTGTGGTGATAAGAACTCTACTTCCTTGAGCCCCACAATTAAGAGGAGTCCGCAAAGCTTTCCATTGGTCTCGATTTTCATTCCAAACATCATCTAAAACTAGAAGAAACCTCATTCTAGTCAATTTTTCTTTCAATCTACCTTGAACCATTTCTAGGTTACTACTGTCATCAGTTGATCCAATGATTGCCTCTAGAATTGTTTTTGTTACCTTGAAAACATCAAATTCATCTGAAACACAAACCCATGCTTTGATGTCAAATTTAGCTTGCTCCATCATTGGGTCATTGTATACATGTTGGGCAAGAGTAGTCTTACCCATCCCGCCCATACCCACAATAGAAAGTATTGATAACTGACTATGATTGATAGTGTCAGAAGTCAACCAATTAAGGATCATTTCCTTGTCATCATCTCTACCATAAATAACACTTTCAACCACCAAAGATGTTGATGGCAGCTTCTGTGTCACATTACTACTAGATCCTGATCCAGCACCAATACCAACACCACTAGCATTTTTTAAACCTAGATCACCCTTTTGGCTTGAAAGAAATTCTAGTTCCTCAAGGATTTGTTCCATCCTTAACTCAATTTCAATGTCAAAATTACATACCTTACTAGCATTGGTCTGAGATTCAGCTTCCAACTCCCATTTACAGAATTCAAAGTTTATTTCATCCAACAGATCCTCCGCATCATACACAGCATCTCTAAGCTCATCAAGCCATGCTTTGACATATGAGTTGCTGAACTGCTTTTGTTCTGCATCATCAATCACAGCATTGATTGACAACAACTTCACCTTCAACTTCTTCAGCAGCTTCTCATCGAGCTTTCTTCCACGAAAGTAGTCCAAAACTTGATGAGAATCCAGCTTGTCAAATAGCACCTGAAGGGCTGCTCCAAAAAGAGCACCACCAAGAGTTTCTAGCACCGGCATGGTTGGAAAGAAAGTGGCAGAATCGAAAAGAAACGATTATAAAAATAAGAAGTGCAGCTTTATCACGAGAATGAATGTATCAGTGTCAATGCATATAGAGTAGAGTTAATAGTAACAACAGGTAATGAATATTGGCTATGTTGTTGAAGATGGCTTTGCTTCAAGGTTTGATGGTCAATCAATAGCTGTTGAGCATATTGTGGGTTCGGATAATCTTTGGAATATATCAATTTTACTTTAATGAAATATCTAGCAACTTTAGTGCATTTAATCAATTTTGGTTGCTAACTTACCAATAAATAAAAGGGACCTACATCTTACATAATTTGAGCATGAAAACAACACATTAGACACCACTCAGATTCTTTTCTTTTTTTCTTTTGACATTATTATTGTGTTTTTTTATTTTTTACCAAATCTTAGTGCATCTTTCTTAATTTTCCTACACTTACCAATTCCTTATTTATTTATGTTTGGTCTGGTTTACTTATCCGATTTAGTTATAATTTTGATCTGTCCATTTTTTTATTATTTGGATACTGACTTTTGAATCAGTCCATTGTTCTGTTGGTTTTTATATTTGCAAGCTCATACTTAATTCTGAGCCATAATGGTTTGTAACAAAAATTGTTGTTTATGAGTAAATTCTTTAACAAAAAAGGTTCTTAACTGAGATTGATTTGGACTGGCAATAATAATATTGTTGATGACTCCATTAACATGTAATTTCCATTTGGTGGTGGCTTTGGTGTATTTGGATTCCCATTTGTTGTTGGCTTTCATGTATTTGGATAAGAAATTTTAAAAATTTTAAAAATTTAAAATTTTAGAATTTAAATTATTTTGATTTTAATTTCTATTATTCTTGAAATGTCTTATTTAGATAGCTCAATTGAATTTGTTTAAATTGAATTTTTTTTTGTTTAGATGAGATAATTTAATTTTCACTATGAATAAATTTTATTTTAAAATTATATATTAAAATTTTAAGATTTAATTTTATATAATTAAATATTAGTCAATTTTTTAATATTTAGTAATTTTAAAAATATTATTGATATTTTTTATGTTAACTTTTAAAAAGAGAAGAGGGAGGTAGGAGAAAAAAGAAAGAAAGAAGAATTTTAAATTCTTAATTTTAAAAGAATTTGAAATTTATAATTTTGTTATTTTATATATATGCTTAAATTTTAAATATTTTATAAATTATTTATTTAAATAAAATATTTTAGTCAAAAACTTAAAAAGAAATTAAATTACTCTATTAAAATCTTCACCAATGAATTTGAGAGATTAATGGTCAATTGCCATACACAGGGAACAATATCCAACTCTGATAAATTGTCAAATGTATTGTTTTGTCCATTGCATGTTTACATCAATAAAAATAAAAAGGTCTTTCAATTATTTGCGGTCATCGGTGCTCATTATTCAACTCAACTCCAGCACCAAAATTGAATATATACAAAGTGACATACCGCAACGAAAGCTAAAATCCCTTCTAAAAAGTTATTATTATTATTTTTTTGGGAGTTGCTACGGTACCTTCAAAGATGGAGAGGTTTCAATACATTTTTCTATATAAATTCATAAAAAATTTTAAAAAAATTAATTTAATTATAAAATGAATAATCCAAATTATACTTATAAAATAAAAAGTAAGATAAAATTATAAAAATTAAAATTATAAGATTTCAATAATATTATAAAATATTTAAAAAATAAAAAAATTAATAAATAAAATTAAAATATAAAAATTCAAAAAATTTAAGTGAAAAAATAAAAATATACTTAAAAAATTATTAAAATTAAACTATTTAAATATATAATAATATTATTACAAATAAATTAGAATATATAAAATTAAAATAAAATGAGTAAATAATTTAAAAATTGAAAGAATAAAATATCATAAATATTATTTAAATAAATTATTAAAAATATAAAATATAAAAAACTGTACCGGTACCCTCTCAAATAAGATGGGTACCATAGAATTTCTCTATTTTTTTTTTCACATTCGGGGTCAAAAACTTTCAAAGTTCATATATTATTATTTATTAATTCGATGGATAATCATAAAATCATTTTATACATTGTTTTGAATTAATGAAACGAAGTATTAAGTAATTTTAAAATTTTCTAAAAATTTGCATATTTGATTTATGAATTAAGAACTTTAAATTCAACGGTTAGATCGTTAAAATTTGATGCGGAACATGAGTTATTCAACGGAGTAAGTCTAGGTAGACTTACTCCTAGAATAAAAGGATCCTTCCTATATATATATATATATATATATTATATAGAGAGAGACAAAGAAAGAAGAGTGTTATAATAACACCTGTTTAACTTTTACTATGTATTACATCACTCAATAACTTTATATTAAATGTAAATTTTGTAAATCCAACCGTTAGATTGAAGGTTCTTTACTCTTAGATCATATATACAAATTTTTTTATTAATCTAACCCAAAATATACTAAAATATGAACACTTTGATCACCTTCAAGTTGTTGTTCAATTTTAACAAAATTTGATATAAACATATAAAATGATATGAACTTTCAATTTAATAGTTGGATTTGTAAAATTCACATTTAATATAAAGTTATTGAGTGGTGTAATACTTGGTAAAAGTTATACCGGTGTTATTATAACCCTCCTCTCTCTCTCTCTCACACACACACACACAACACACATATATAAAGAATGTGTTTGCTTTAGGAGTAGGTTTGCAAATTTTTAAAAAAATTTAAAAATCATTTGATACCTCATTTTATTAATTCAAATCTAACGTATTAAATATTTTTATTATTATCCGTCAATTTTAATTAATGAAATGAAGTATCGAATGATTTTTAATTTTTTTTTAAACATTTGCATACTTAATCTATACATTAATAACTTTAAATTATTGAACATAATAAGTCTAAGTAAATTTATTCCTAAAGTAAACAGATCTCTTCTCTCTTTCTCTCTCTCTCTCTCACACACACACGCACATATATATATTGAAGAAAGTAGATGTGGAATAGTATCATTATACAGAGGAGGATCCTAACTAGGTTAGCACCTCGCTCCACATCCATCATATGCTCCACATCAAAAATTCTAATATCAAAAGTAAAAGAAAATGTATAAAGTGGGAGGACCAAACCAAAACCTACAAAACAAAACAAAGCAATGAAAAAGAAACTACAAAGAGCAACCAAATGCAAGACAGAAACTACAAAAAAACACATTGAACTAATAAATGCTCCTAATGTATAAATTAAATTTATAAATTTTAAAAAAATTAAAAATCATATAATACTTTGTTATAGAGATTTAAATCAACATATAAAATGCTTTAATGATTATTTATTAATTTAAATTAATAAAATAAAATATCAAATAATTTTGAAACTCTAAATCCTATGCATTAAAAATTTGAAAACTTGATTCATATGTTAATTTTTTTAAATTTAATAATTAGATCGTTAAAACTTATATTGTAATGTTTTTTTTTACTTCAAATGTCAAAATTTTTCATAGTTCAAACCTCACTTGTCATATTTGTTGATCACATTATCGATATTTATTTATTTTAGTCTTTTTAATATCTAATAATTTGATATATATATTTAAATTTGGATAAATTTTGACACTAGAAGTAAAAAAAATATACCATATACCTTTTAATTTACATAGAGGAGATTTTAGTTTTAGTTGCTATCCCAATATATATATATATTTTTTTTAAAAGATAGATATGTTAAGGCATTACTATGTGGAAAAGAGATCCTAACTAGGTTAACACCTCAATCAATACCAATCATATGCAACATATCAAAATGGACTGAAAAATAAAAGAAAGTAAAAGTACAACTGGAAGGACTGAACCAAAACCCACAATAATAATGTAAAGTAAGGAAAAACAAATGGATCATAGGCCAAAGCCAATGTACAATATCAAAATATGAAATCTAGTCTAATACCAAAAATAAGCTAACTTTTTTCACAAATCAAGATATGGGCATTTAGATCTAATCCCAGTATATGGGCATTTAGATCTAATGAAAACTTAAGATCCAATTTATTTCCGTTATGTACATTAACAAAGAAACCTATTAAAGCGTTAAGATTTTTTCCTTTTACCTTTATAATATTGTATAATGCATTTCATGTCCCACATAAGGACATAGTTTTTGTGATATATCAAAGGGTGTAACTGGTTCCGCACTATTAATTCTTAATCAAATATTTTCACACAATAGAAACATATATAACGGTGTAAAACTAAGACCATATTTAAAGAAAAAAAATAGAATCTCTCCTCTTTCTTATCCTACTGTATATCTTATTTTTTAAAATAATATTTATTAAATTTCTAATAACTTTTTATTGTCATGGTGGGAAAGAAAGTGACTTAACTGAAAAGAAGAAAGGATATTGAGAAAATTGGAGTAAAGATAAGGACTGTTTTCTTGAAGATGGCTTTGCATTCCCTACCACACAAATGTGTTCTCTCGGAGAATATCTAAACTTGTCAAAGTTAAAATACTTTACTTTATTAACATCCTTGTTGACTATAACGAAGAAATATGAAAAAGCAACTTTACTTTAGTCATTTTCCATGGCTAACTTATTACTTGCTTTTGATATGCTCATTCCATTGGATTCAATTATCATCACTGTACGTGATGGTTCCTGTACCTGCTTAAGGATACACTCGTAGTCTTTTGCATTTTGTCTATTCAAATCATTCATTCATTTTTTATAATTCCCTAAAACACAAAAAATTTTAAAAATGCATTATCATGTGAGAGAAAACCTAGTGTGAAAATAAGATCTGTGAGAAGCATACATTCCTTCTTTTTTTTTTAAAAAAAAAGGGGGGCATCATGCATTTTCTACAAAATAAAAAAATATAATAAATAAAAGGATAATAAAAAAAAGAACATGCATATCATATATTTAGGATCACAAGGGGGTTTATATCAAAGACGAGAAATCAGTGTGACCTCTGTCACATCATAAAATATTATGAAGAGGAACACTGATAACTCACCTCTCGACAAGGATGAGCCATCAAGTCTTTGATAGAAACTTCCTTCATGCATTACCATTTAAATAAGCTTGATAGAAAACTGTCTTATCCCTTAAAGGTGGCTTTTCAACATTGGGGGACTGTTGTGTGCTATGGTTTGTGTGCAATTTTTTAATTCAAACATGTGCGGAATTTAAACAAGC